AGCAAAGAAACACAAGAGGAAGAACTTCAGGTCGAAGAAATACAAGAAAATGAAATCTAAAGAGAACAGGGAGGAGGAGAGCAGTGATTCAAGCGCTGAAGCCTCGGAGAAGAGTTTGTGGAGAGTCCCTGGGAAGATGGCTCAAAGGCTGAAGAACCTTGGGGTGTAACTGGCCCGAGGCTCCCCAGACACTTGCTTCTCCGGATGCTGACCCTCTGAACTGTGGCCATGCCCTGTTACCTGCTGAGGGGGCAGCTATGGCTGAATATGTAAAAGCTGGAAAACGTATTCCACGAAGAGGAGAAATGGGTTTGACTACGAAAGCACCGGCATCGTTGGAGCGCTCAGGTGGCTCAGGTGGAGTGGCAGCTGGCATCGCCCCGCGCAGGCTGTGTGATCTCTGCCGCCAGAGGAGAGCCCTTGCCAGAGGGAGACCACCATCCCAGAGCCGCTGTGTACAAACACCAAAGGGAACGATGATGATTATCCAGGAGACTCTTGAAACAAAAATGAAAATCTGGATTTCATCTATACACACAGACAATGATACTTATGCTCTGGGAAAGCTTTACAGCGCGACTGTGCCTTCTATCTGATTATTTCAATCCTTCAATAAAAAGCTGTTCATTAAATAAAATCTGTTTTTGTAAATTTTAGTTTTGATGATGTAAGCCATGTGGACCACGGGTTAGGGTATAATACATACAATAACAGATTTACAGAGGAAAGGAGAGACAGACAGAATGATCTTCCACCTGCTGGTTCACTCCCCAGATGGTTGCAACAGCTGGCGCTGAGCCTATTTGAAGCCAGGAGCTCTTCCGGGTCTCCCACGGGGCTGCAGGTTCCCAAGCTCTGGGCCGTCCTCCACCGCTTTCCCGGGCCACAGGCAGGGAGCCGGATGGGAAGTGGAACAGCTGGGGTATGAATGGCACCCATATGGGATGCTGGCACTTGGAGGAGGAGGAATAGCCATTTGACCCATTGTGCTGGGCCCAAGGGAAGATACTTGTTAGGGAAAGTATAAAGTGTGATAGAAAGACGGCCTCCCTTCGTTCCTGTGAACGGTGGAATGGTCAGTGAGGGCAGACGCAGCCCCTCGCCACAGGTGGTGGCTCTCAGCCATAGTGCCTGTCACCAGGAGACCATTTCAAAGGTTCAGAAACGAAGTGTCATCATTTTAAAAATTGATGGTGCATATAGAAAAAAAGGAAACTCTTTTTCCAAGACTACTCTGAGGTAAAGCCAATAGTTTACATTTCTAAAGTAGCTATTGGAGACAAGCCAGAGAAGGTAGGACATTAACTGGCAGCCACATGGGATCCTGGTGCATACAAGGTGAGGACTTTAGCCACTAGGCTACCGCACCAGACCCCCATTTCTTTATTTGTATAATGAGATAGATATATAACTCATATCTTTGTAAGGACTCGATGAAAAAATACACAGTACTGAGCATGCTGTTAGCATTTAGTATGTTCCCATACAGACTTGTGGAAAAGCTCCACGAGCTGCATTTTCCCCCATGGAATTCAGTGAAATAGCACATGACACTCATTACAGGAGAGACAGGCAAAGCATGGTTTGGTGCCCACATAGCAGGATGGCGCATCACTGCGTCACTTGGCCAGCGAGATCTAAGTGTACCTTTGGCATTGCCAGTGGGACGTTTCCGTCCATGCCAAGCAGTTCCCAGTAGGCAACCTAGGTCAAGGTCATCAATCCAGCGACGACATCCTTTACTTTCCTTAAAATAGCCATTTTAGAGAAAGTCTTGTTTTTCTTCTTACACTTTATGATTAATAATAAATCAAAATTTTAATACTTCTAAATCAATTTGTCCATGACCCTTTCTGATCTCTTGGCCTATTTTGGCCTATAATTTCATTTTGCCCAACTGTGACTTTAGTCACGTGTTGTAAAATGCCATGTCATAATCAGGGCTAATAAAACCTGGACCCGAAAACACCTTGCAGAAACTGTAATTGCTTCTGCTTGATGTTAAGGTTTTCATGCTATGATTTAATGGCTTCTGTTGTTTAGACTAGAGTAGGAATCTAAAAAGAGATTTCTAAAAAGCAAACTATGAGAAAAACAAGTCCAGTGATAAAAGTTAATGCGTCATCAAAGCTTTGACTAGGTCATAAACTTGACTTGCTCAGTTTAAAGAACAGGTTTGACTAATGTTTCCTTGTTTGGTTATTCTTAAAGGAATCACTAAGCATTTTTTTTTTAAAGTCAATAGCATTAATTATCTGGTGTAATTCTTTTTTTTAAGTTTATTTTTATTGCAAAGTCAGATATATAGAGAGGAGGAGAGACAGGGAGGAAGATCTTCTGTCCGATGATTCACTACCCAAGTGACCAGCAATGGCCAGAGCTGAGCCAATCCAGAGCCAGGAGCCAGGAACTTTCTCAGGGTCTCCCACACGGGTGCAGGGTCCCAAGGCTTTGGGCCGTTCTCCACTACTTTTCCCAGGGCACGAGCAGGGAGCTGGATGGGAAGTGGGGATGCTGGGATTAGAACCGGCGCGTGCATGGGATCCAGGTGTGTGCAAGGCGAGGACTTCAGCTGCTAGGCTATTACGCCGGGCCCATGTGAGTGGTTTTAGAGGAAGGGTGACATCTCTAGATGAAGTGCAAAGACTCTGACTCTGCATCCATGTGCAGTTTCAGCTAACACACTTAGCAACTCCATCTCCACCTCATGCACTTACACAGAGCATTCAAACCCGCAGTGTCTTCACAAGGCCACTGTCAACTCACAGAAAAGACCATACAGCAACATGGCAAGTTCACGAGTTCCAGAGGCAAAGGGCTCAAGTTCACGGGTGGCCTCAGCTGCCTACCCACTGTGACTGCCCTATAACTTAACTGTCCTCTTTGTTTTTCTAAGTTTAGAACACAATAGCAAAACCTCATTGGTTTGCAAATAGGATTAAGTGTTATTTTTTGAACTTAACGCATTCCTTAACAGCCTATCTCAGGTAGCACCATTGTTAGCTGTTATGGTAGAGAGTAATGGAGGCTCTGGCTGGCTGAGGTATATTACTCAATCTTGCTAGTTTCTCATATGTGGAATGAGGTTTCCTAGATAACTTCCATGATTTCATCTTTAAAATTCCATGATTCTTGGTTGAATACTTGTTCTGCCTCACGTGTTGTTCAGTCTTGTCTAATTTTTCATTTGCTAGCGAGCCGTTCCGGGGACCCTCTAGTAAGGACCTCTTGGACCGGGAGAACACTGTGTTTACTTACAAAACATTTAAACACATATTTAACTCCCATTTGACTAGCAACTTTCTAATGTGACACAAAGTCTTGTCAGTTTTACAGAACTTTGCAATTGGATATTCACGTAAGGACTTATTGGAAATGCAGTTATACAGAGAGAAGGGAAGACAGAGAAGGGCAAGCCTTCCGCCTGCTGCTGCTGACGGTCCATCCCAGGAGCCGGGCCCAGGCCTGGGTCACTCTCCACTGTCCTCGGTGCACTGGCAGGCAGCTGGACCGGAACCGAAGCAGCTTCACCTGCAATGCCACAACGGCAGCCCCAGATTCACTTTTTAGTCAGCGATAATAAACCTTTTCTATAGAAGTAGGAAAGTATCTTTCCCCAATGATAACTCCTCTATTTTTATCAAAGGCCTCCGGTATGGATATTTTCATTTTTCCTTTCCGTCTTTTCCACTGCAGTTTTGGGTGGCTTTTACGATGTTCACATCTTACATTTTTTGCTTTATTATATATCAACTTACCAAAGCTATATATACTTTAGAAAAGTTTTAAGGCATACAAAAACAAAAAGAATACATCACACCATAACCACAGCCCAATGTTACAGTTGTCACATTTCCAACCAAATTCATATTTTAAGGACATTCCATACAATGCCACAAATGGACTTCTGTTGGCTATACACCACCGCATATTAATTCCGTAATTTATTCTTAGCGATTCATGAGCTAGCCTTGTATTCGTTTGCTCTTGGGCGATGCTGTGACAGCTCCGAGATGCGCGTGGACTTCAGCCCTGTGCTGGAACCGCCAGGCGCTCCACTGGCCCAGGCAGCCTCTTCACAGACAGGAATTAACGCACAGATTTCCCTCGCTGGTCGAGAAGGGGATGTCAGCCACTTTCTCCTCCGAACGAAGTCGGACCAGCTGCAGACAGCTCCGGGGCACCTCGTGCAAGGGCCGGCTGACGGGCGCCAGCGCCGCTTCTCTCCCACGTCCTCACCAAACGTGGTGCTCCGAGGGAAGGCCGGAGGCGGCCCGGCCTCGCGGCTCCGACCGCCGACCTTCTGCCGCCTTCGGGGCCCTTCCGCGGGGACGCGGGCGCCGGTCGGGCGACCCCGGGGCTGTCAGCCCGGAGCAGCGGCGCGCTGCCGGCAACACCCCGGGCGCGCAGCGAGCGCTGTCCGTCCCCGCCTCCCCCGAGGCCCCGGTCGAGTCCCCGCTCTCCAGAGGGCCAGCCTGGACAACTGTCCCCTTAGCGAAGGGAAAAGGAAAGAAGTTGGACTTCGCCACTTGTTTCACGCCTCCCGTCCGCGCAGCCGCCCCTCCCTCAGCTCCGTCCGGGCCGGGAGCGAGAGCGGCGGGCGCGCCTCCTGCGCATGCGCGGCCGCCCGGGCGCGCCGGCTAGCCGCCCCCCCGCCCCGAGCTTGTCACTTCCTGCCCTCGCCCCATCTCCGTCCGGGGTCAGTCAGTCGCTCGCTGTCGCTGCCGGAGTCTCTCAGCTTCCCCCTTCCTACCGCGGCAGCTCGGGCGAGATCGAGAACCAGAGGGACCGACTCCAATAAAAGTTTCCTGAAACAACTACTACCAAAAAAAAAAAAAAAAAGCCCAAGGTGGGGGGAGCGCTCTCCGCCCCTTCCCTCGGTCTCCGCCCTCTCCGGAGCCTGAGGGACCGTTGCAGGTGGACGGCGCCGGGAGCACCGGGTGCGGCGGGCGGCCGTTGCCCCGGCGGGCGGCGCCTCGGGTCCCGCTGCTCGGGCGGCCGCGGCCGGGCGGGTGCTCCTGTCAGCCGGCCGGCCCGGCGCCGAGGGACGCCGAGGGACGCCGAGGGACGCGGGGGACGCGGGGGACGCCCGAGCCGCGGCCCCGCAGACCGACGTGGTGAGCTGCGGCGCTTCCGCGTCGGCGCCGGCGGAGGGGCAGCCCGGGGCGGCGCGCTGGGCCTCGCGGGGTCGGCGGGGGGCCGGCCGGGGGTCGCGGGCCTGCTTCCCGCCGCCCCGGCCGGGCGCCCCGGGCTTGGGCCGAGGAGAGCCCCCCGGACGCACGTGCGCGGCGGAGGGCGCGGGGCGCGCGCGGGGGGCGGCCGTGCCCATCGCCCGGCCCCCGCCGCCCCGCCGGCCGCCCCCGAGCCGCCGCCCGGCCGCCCGCCAGGCCTGCGCCCCGCGCCGCCGAGCGCCCGCGTTTCCGGGTAGGGCGAGGAACCTGTGCGAGCCGGGCGGAGGAGCGGGCGTCCTGCAGCGGGCCGGAATCGCGCAGAGCCGTGCGGGGGGCTGCGGGGGTCCGCGGGGTCCGCGGGCGTGCGTGGGGGCCGCGGAGGGGAGGCGAGTTCGGGGCTGCGTGACGAGTGTGCGCGCTTTTCCACAGGGCAGGGCGCGATGAAGAGCTTCTCCCAGTGAAAGGAAAGTAGGTCGCGGCCGCCGAAAATGCCTTTAAGGGACAAGTACTGTCAGACTGAGCACCACCACCACGGCTGCTGCGAGCCAGGTACGCGCCCCCCGCTCCCCGGGCAGCCCCGCGCGCCCTGCAGCAGAGAGCCCGTGCAGGCGGGGCCCGCGTGGGCCTGCAATCCTGCGAGTCCCGCCTGGGATCGTTTCCGCGGGAGCAGGTGGCAGCCCGCAGCGAGGGGCGCCCTGCTGCCCCCCGCAACAGAGAGCCCCAGCAGAAGGAAGGGCGGACAGGTGCTGCGTGCCAGGGAGCGCCCTGGGGGAAGGCTGCCACCAGCCCCGCCCGCTCGGAGATGGGTTCTGGGTGAAGGCGCGTGTGCAAGTCTCCGAGGAGAAATCAGGCGTCGCCCAGTGCAGCCTTCAAAACAAATGCCTGCACAGAACATACCATGTGCACAGGATCCAGTCTCCTCAGCCTAGAGAAGGATGTAGGTTATTTTGAGTGCAGCTGCTTGCTCTTTTCGTGGAGTTTATGGCAGGGAAACGTGTTTGCAAACTTGAATCAGATTGATAAACGTGGGATAGTTTTTCTCCTGAGAGCCTTGGCAGAGTTTGGGACAGGCGGTCGGGGTCCGGCAGCATCGCTGGCTCCCGCGGAGCTCATCAGGCTACTGCAGAAAGTGGGTGCTTGGCATTTCTCACGTAGTTTTAGGATTGCTTTATGCCTCTGCCTGCTGTTCCTTTTATCACAACACACATGCACTTGGGTGTCATTACCGTAGGATTCTTTGAATGGGCATGGTGAGTAATGGGAGAACAGAAAGGGGGGCACTTGGGCATGCTCGAGAAGGGACTTCGTACTTCAGGCTCCACTACGTCAGGCTGAAATAGGCAGTTCTAGGATGACATCCAGTTTATTCCATTACCCTTGACCTTTTGGCATCTTTTTTTTTTTTTTTAAGATTTAATTATTTTTGTTGGAAAGGCAGAGTTATAGAGAGGCAAGACAGGGAGAAAGATCTTCCGTCTGCTGGATCACTCCCCAAGCGGCCACAATGGCCAGAGCTGAGCTGATCCGAAGCCAGGAGCTTCCTCCAGGTCTCCCATGCGGGTGCAGGGTCCCAAGGCTTTACACCATCCTCGACTGCTTTCCCAGGCCACAAGCAGGGAGCGGGATGGGAAATGGAGCAGCCAGGACATGAATGATGTCCGGATGGGATGATGGCACTTGCAGGTGGAATATTAGCCAGTTGAGCCAACGTGCCTGTGCCCTCAGAATAGACTTAAATTGCATATTTTGTGTGCTTGAAGTGAAGACAGATCTCCTGTTTTATTGAGTGTTGAATGAAGCTGCTGGCATTGAAGAGTAAGGATGTGGATGATGGCTTTTGGATTTAAGTTCCACTGACTCACTGTCATTTGTCCTAAGGGCACTTCCGAGGCATTTAAGTTCATGAGGGCGTCTCATTTAGGGAGAGGTTTCTGTGTATATTCATTGCTTAAACATTGTGTTATTGAATAGCTGTAGGTGCCGGAGAATGTCAAAGGCAAAAGCGATGGATGAGATGCAAAGATAGTTTATGACCATGCTTTTTTTTTTTTTAAAAGATTTATTTTATTTTTATTGGAAAGGTGGAAAGGAGAGACAGAGAGGAAGATCTTCTTTCTGATGATTCACTCCCCAAGTGAGTGCAATGGCTGATGCTATGCCGATCCGAAGCCAGGAGCCTCTTCTGGGTCTCCCGTGCGGGTGCAGGGTCCCAGAGCTTTGGGCCGTCCTCGACTGCTTTCCCGGGCCACAGGCAGGGAGCTGGATGAGAAGCGGGGCCCCCGGAATTAGAACCACCGCCCATATGGGATCCCGGGTGTGTAAGACGAGGACCTTAACCACTGCACCACCGCGCTGGGCTCCGACCATGCTTTATTGTTTTCCACTAGTAACATTTCTCAAGAGACTTTAATCTCTTATTTTAAAAAAAAAGATGTATTTATTTTTATTGGAAAGGCAAATTTTATCGAGAAAGGAGGAGACACAAAGAGAAGCTATTCTATTTGCCGGTTTGCTCCCCACGTGGTCACAACAGCTGGAGCTGAGCAGATCTGCAGCTAGCAGCCAGGAGCTGCTTCCGGGTCTCCCATGCAGGTGCAGGGCCCCAAGACCACAGGCCATCGTCTACTGCTTTCCCAGGCCATAAGCAGGGAGCTCGGAAGTGGGGCAGCCGGGATGTGAAATGGCACCCATAGAGGATGCTGGTGCCTCAGGGCCAAGGGTTAGCTTCTACTCCATCGCGCCTGGCCCCTGTAATCTATTTAGAGATGTTTTCTAAAGCTGAGTGCTCTCATATGTATTGGGTCTTTGTTTTTTTTTCCCACCCGTTGAAAGGGTATCAGATAAACTGCTTTAATATAAAATTTTCTTTCTTTTACTAGAAGGTTTTTCTAATGTAGGTCAATTGCAAGATTTACCAGATCTAAAGCAGTTATTACTTCTTAGCTTTCCTGGCCAAGTTAAGCATTTTGAGAAGGTTTAATTTGGTGGGAAGGTAGAAGTGGTCATGGGGTAGTGTGTTGTCATTATGTCGGGGAAGGGTGTCTGCTGAGAGTCCTGGAGGTTCCCAAGACTGAAAGAGAAGAGGTAGGGGTGGTGGTGTTTAGGTGAAGCTCAGATGGAGGGAAGAGGACGGTGCGATGCTTGGGCAGTTCCTCAGTGAGCTGTCCTGGGATGTGTCCTGAGTTGGATTGAACAGTGAGAGCGGTGTGTTCCTGAGGAGGTTGTTGTACCTTGATGGGGTGGGCCCCTTTTTAGTGAGGGGTGCTGGTTGGTATAGGCCTGGTGATTTGTCGTTGTTGTTGCTTGATTTTTTTTGTTTGTTTCTAGGCCTAGTGGTTTGTGCAATTTTTTTTTTTCCAGGGGCCAGAATGGTGACGGTGGCAGGTTAAGCTGCTGGCTTTAATGCTGGCATCCTATTTGGGTACCAAGTGGCATCCCTCCTACTCTCTGCTGTTGCCGTCCCTGGGAGAGCAGTGGGAGAGACCCCAGTGCCATAGCCCAGCCACGCATGGGGGAGACCCAGATGGAGTCTTTATTAAGTTTTAAACATTTTGGCAAAAATTCTCAAACCTTCCAAAGTAAGAATGATGTGACACCCTGCCGTAACCATTAGCGACCCACACGAGGCCGGTGCTTTTTCTTTTATGCTTTCCCTGCTTCCCCAGGTCCCGTCTAACAAGGCCGGGTGTCACACATAGATATGTGAAGGCTGTGATTCCAGGTGACCGAGAGTTTCTGCCAAGTGTGTTCTTGAACGGATGAAGGGAAGTGTCCTGAAGGCTTAGGGCTGTGTTGCAGGGAACTATTTGTTTCCGGTTTCTAGTTGGTTCCTAACCTGGATGGGCCCAACCTTGGCAGGGATGGTAGGGTGTATAAGAGGAATTAACATGTAAGGGTTTCTAAGACTGGGAGCATGTTTGCAAATGAAGATGTTTTTTTAAATGGAGAATATACCAAGTGGAGGTGCAAGCGATACGAGCGTTGTCTCAGGACGTGCGTGTGTCCTGCCCTAGCGACGGGCAGGACATGCTGCTGCTCTCCCTGGGTGTGGCAGAGCTTTCTGGAGGGCCGGCGTGAGGAGACGCCGAGTCTCAGGAGTCTGTCTGCCCGTGACTGCTCCCTCATCCTTGCTGCTTTCCATCCTCTGGTTAAATGTGTGCTGCTTTTGGAGTCATACCTTGAAGCGTTGCATTCTTCACTCTGAAATTCTTGGTTCATTTAAAAATGTTTTATTTGAAAGGCAGAGGAATTGTGGGGCAGAGCGGGGGCGGACAGGAAGAGCGAAGGTAGATGCTGAGTTTGCATGTGCTGGCTTACTCGCCAGGTGCCAGCAGTCTGGACCGGCCAAAGCCAGGAGCCTGGAGCTGCAGCTGGGCTCTCACGCGGTGGCAGGACCGGGTGTTTGGCTGTCACCGTTGTCCTTTCTGTTGCATCAGCTGGTAGCTGGGGCTGCGGCGAGGCCCGCTGAAATGGGTGCTGGGTGCCCGAAGCAGCAAGTCGGCTGCTGTCCCATGGCGCCCACCTGCGTCCTCACCCTCTCTCTTGAAGCTTACTTTTTATTTTACTAATGAAAAACTGTGTTATTATAATTTGCAAATGATGAAAATTGATATTATTTATTAGTGCATTTACATACTTCTATTCTCTGAAAGATTGAATTCTACTTAGATTTTGAAAATAAAGTTTTCTGGTTTCTGCTGTTAGGCAAGTGGAAATGGATATGAGGTGATAGGCAATTTATTGAGTGCTTGCTATGTCCTAGGCTCTGTGTTTTTTTTTTTTTTTCTTTTTAAAGATTTATTTATTTTTGTTGTAAAGTAAGAGAGGAGAAACGATGGAGAGGAAGATCTTCTGTTCACTGACTCACTCCCCGAGCAGCCCTAACAGCCGGAGCTGAGCCCGGAGCCCAGAGCCTCTTCCGGGTCTCCCACGCGGGTGCAGGGTCCCAAGGCTTTGGGCCGTTCTTGACTGCTTTCCCAGGCCACAGGCAGGGAGCTGGATGGGAAGCGGGGTTGCTGGGACACTATCCTGGGGCCTATATGGGATCGTGGCACATTCAAGGCCAAGACTTTAGCCACTAGGCTACCATGCTGGGCCTGTGTATTTTTTTTTAAGTTTTTTTTTTTTAAGACTTATTTATTTTTATTGAAAAGTTAGAGGTACAGAGAGGAGAAAAGACAGGAAGGTTTTCCGTTGTCTGACTCAATTCCCAAGTAGCTGCAGCGGCCAGAGCTCAGTTGATCCGAAGCCAGGAGCCAGGAGCCAGGAGCTTCTTCTGGGTCTCCCATGTGGTGCAGGGTCCCAAGGCTTTGGGCCGTTCTTGACTGCTTTCCCAGGCCACAGGCAGGGAGCTGGATGGGAAGTGGGGAACAGCTGAGACTGGAACTAGTGCCCATATGAGATGATGGTGCATGCAAGGAGAGGAGTTTAACCGCTACTAGGCTACCGTGCCGGGCCCAGGCTCTGTATTAAGTAGATTACTTGCATTAGCTCGTTTAGTCCTGACACAGCCCTATGATTTAGCTATGGTTTATGTTAAGTCCCTATTCTAAAGGTGAGGGGAGAGAGAAATCAAGGAGTTTAATTTGTCTGATTATATCTAGTAAATACAAAAAAAAAAAAAAAACCGTTGAATGTAGCAGTCTGGAGTGACTGTGGTTGGTACCTGTGTTAAGTGTTCCTAAAATGAGGTGTGTGTGTTCTTTTTTTAAGTACCCCTAAAATGTCTCGTAAGCTAGAACTTTTTAAGGGATGAATTGACTTGGTCCTTTCTCATGTCCACTGAGCACAGACTGGAGGCCTGCAGGAGAGTACGACTCCCTGTAGCTAGCGCAGCAGGTGTCGGGAACACTGAAACTCGCATGGCGGAAGTCATCCTTGTGTCCCGCACGGAGCCGGCGGGCCTGGGCTGTGATGCTCTAATTGCATATTACAAACGAGTAAAGCCAAGGGTCTGTTCTCAGTCACAGTCTTCTGTAGTTGGTTACTGATAGAAAAGCCAGGTTTTCTTTTCAGCCACTTTGTTTCATGTTATTATAATTTACTGTTTGTTTATGCTGTTTGAGGATTAGAAGTAGGGCTGATATCAATCCCTAAAAATTTTCATGATTGGGCCTGACGTGGTAGCCTAATAGCTAAAGTCCTCACTTTGCATGCACCGGGATCTCATGTGGGTGCTGCTTCAAGTCTCAGCTGCTCCACTTGCTATCCTGCTCCCTGCCTGTGGCCTGGGACGGCCCAAAGCCTCGGGACCCTGCACCCACGTGGGAGACCCGGAAGAAGCTCCTGGTTCCTGGCTTTGGATTAGTTCAGCTAAGTCCATGTGGCCACTTGGGAAGCGAACCAGCAAATGGAAGATCTTTCTCTCTGTCTCTGCTTTTCTTTGTAAATCTGACTTTCCAATAAAAATAAATTTAAAAATTTTTAAATGGAAAAAAATTATTGATGATTAAAGCATATTCTTTCTAAAGTAATACATTTCTGAAAGCCTTGGCTCTGAAGTTAGGAATTTGTGAGTCAGACAGTATTACCCTATAAACCCACCCACCCTGTATGAAACTGTGTTAGTATCCCTTAAAAACTGGCATCTGTGTATCCATACATGTCTACATTAAATTTATGCATTTTTGAATCCAAGTGTATATTACAAAATAGATCATATTTTGAAAACTTTGTTACATAACAATTTTCTTAAAAATTATTTTTATTTGAATGGTAGATTTACAGAGAGACAGAGAGATCTGCCTGCTGGTTCACTCCCCAAATGGCCACAGCGGCTGGAGCTGTGTCAGTCAGAAGCCAGGAGCCTGGAGCTTCTTCCAGATCTTCCTTGTGGGTGCAGAGGCTCAAGGACTTGGGGCATCTTTTGTTTCTTTCTCAGGCACATTAGCAAGGAACTGGATCAGAAGTGGACTAGCCGGGACTTAAACTGGTGGCATTGCAGATAGAGGCTTAACGTACTATGCCACAGAACTGGCACCGCTTAACTATTTCAGACATCCTTTGTTGTGCGTGCACTTAGCTCTGCATAATGCATTCTTGTTCTTGTTGCTTAGATTCATTTATTTTATTCAATAGACAGCGTTCCATCCTCTGGTTTCCTCCCATAATGGCTGTAGCATCTGAGGATGGGCCAGGCTGAAGCCAGGAGCTTCTTCCCAGTCTCCCACGTGGTGCAGGGGCCCAAGCACTTGAGCCATCTCCCGCTGCTTTCCCAGGGACCGCTGCTTAGTAAGGGACCAAATCGGAAGTTTGAACTGGTGCCATATAGGATGGCAATGTTACGGACAGCAGTCTAAATCACACCATGGCACCTTTCTCACCCCCGCTTTTTTTTATTTGTAAAAATTTGCTTTATTTGAAAAGCAATCACAGAGAGACAGATGTCTTCGTCCATCTTCTGGTTCACTTCCCAAATGGCCACACCACTCGGGGCTGGACCAGGCTGAAGCTAGGAGCTTCTTCCAGCTCTCCCACATGGGCGGCAGTGGCCCAAGCAGTCGGGCCATCCTTTGCTGCTCTGCAGGGCATGTTAACGGGGACCTGGACCAGAAGTGTGCTAGCCAGGATTCAACCAGTGTCCATTGGATGTCTGTGCTGGTGTTACAGGGGGCAGCTGCACGCGCTGCCACGCCATCCCCTAGCTTATGCTCTCCCATAACTTGATATTATTTGTAATATTTTGTTGTGTGTGGATTTCATAGTCTAGTCCAAGGGGCGAGGGAAGAACCTTTTTTTTTTTTTTAAATCAAGGTTGATTTGGGTATTTATAACGTCGTTGGGCTGTACAGAATTATCAGGGTAACTTTATGAGGTGTTGAGTTTACCTTCTGCCTGCCATTGGATGCCTTGGCAGGGTCTGGCGTGGCCATGCAGTCCTTGCAGGGCCAGCAGGCTGGATGGTCCCTGCTCCTGACAGTGTCTGCTGGGAGCCCTTTAGACACTTGCAGATTTGTTTTAGCTACATACAGTCCTAGAGTACTGCAGCGAATCTGTCCTGTGCTTGTCACATTACTTCCTGACAAAGGAGTTTTGATTTTTATTCTTAATAATTGTCCAGAAAGGTATATCAGATTACCAAGAGGATTTGGGGATGTTGTTAAGGTATGGCTAGGCTATGATTGCTTTAGAATTTTGATTAAATATAGTGACTCCTATTTAAAGGAAATAAAAAAATGTAAATATGTATTAAGTAGTAAGATCTTTCTTTACATTTGAGCTTAGTATTTGGCCTTAAATATACTTAACTTAGCTTTTACTGGAGGCATTGATATATTAGTGCTTTACAGAGATGATGGTGAGTTAATGTGTGTGTAAATGTGCAGATCATTGTGCTTTATAATAAATGATTTAAATAACCCTTCTCTTGTGGGGTTGGGGTGGGTGTTTGTCTTCCATGTAGTTTATATCCTGGAGCCTGGAGATCCTCCTTTGTTACAGCAGCCACTACAGACATCCAAGTCTGGTATTCAACAAATAATTGAATGCTTTCGATCAGGTATGAATATTTTAGGATTGTATTTTTCAATTTTTAAACAATAGAAGTCTTTAGATATAATCTAAAAATATATATGTTGATTTTGTTGGAACTTTTTGATTGTTATATTTTTAGAAAGTGGATGAATAAGCATTGACTTGTTCTAGAAATTACTTTTTACTCCTTAGTATATATTTAAAATGAAATGATTAGTTTAACAGAATAGAAATCCATTGGGTGTATGTGCGGGAAGAGCTCTGTCTGCTAAAAGTCCGGTCTTGGGTTTTGGTGTGTTCTTTGAAAATGCAGTACCTTTCCTGGGTTTCTGTAAGCTGGCACTGTAGACTGCCCATCAGCTGTCTCTGTTCTAGGGTGTTATCACCTTTGGGTGACATATCCTCTCTTTACTGGAGTTTCATTGTCATTAATAGAGTATAATATTAGAAAAAAGACATGTTCTAGTCCTCATGTCCTAATGTGTATTTGTTTAGCTTAATTATTATTATAAGAATTGGTTTTGTACTATGTTTGTGTGGTTGCAACCCAGTGCTTTATTTATTTATTTTAAAGATTCATGTTTGTTTTTAGAAAGTCAGATATACGGAGAGGAGAGACCTAGGAAGAGCCTCTGTCCGCTGATTCACTCCCAAAGTAACCACAGTAGCCGGAGCTGATCTGAAGCCAGGAGCCTGGAGCTTATTTCGGGTCTCCCATGCAGGTGCAGGGTCCCAAGGCTTTGGACCATCCTCTGCTGTTATCCCAGCCACAAGTAGGGAGCTGAATGGCAAGTGGAGCAACCAAGATTAAAACTGGCACCCCGTTGCACTCACTTGGGGAGTGAATCATCGAATGAAAGATCTTCCTCTCTGTCTCTCCTCCTCTCTGTATATCTGATTTTCCGATAAATAAATAAATCTTTAAAAAACAAAAACTAAAACAAAAAAAACTGGCACCCATATGGGATCCCGGCACATGCAGGCGAGGACTTTAGCCACCAGGCTATCATGCTGGGTCATGAATAATTCTTTAAAAACCAAGTAAATCACTTAAAAAATATAAACATAAACAAGTATGAAATTACATCATTTCAGGTTACTCATCATAGTATTGCTTCTTTAACTAGGCAATAAATGGCAAATAAAATAAACCTAATCAAAATTATACTAAGAAAAGTGATATCTTTAAATATTTAATTCCCAAAATTAAATGACAAGGAATGTGGAGACAACATTCTGTAAAACACGTATTGTTTTTTAAAATAGTTCCAGGATCTGTGGGAAAGCCTGGTTTAACTTGTTCATCAAATCTCACTAGAATAAAGTGAAACAGTATGAAAGAATCATATTAGTGCTGAACTGCAAACTTTAGGGAGAAAATCTACAGCAAGTAAATGAGAGTGACTGTAAAAAAAGCTGGAGCCTCGTATGCATCTCATTACAGAATGTCTGTATTATAAAAGGGAAAATCCAAAAGCAGACCATTCTTCTGGAATTCCAGGAACACACTGTCCCTGCAAGCACAAATTTAACTATATTTAAACAGAATTTTACCTACTAATGTGTTACTGTTAACCAAGGACAATTGTCCAAAGCAAAAAGAAATAAGTGCCTAAAAATAATTTATGTATCATCATCTGCCGTAATGATAGGTACTGGTACACAGTAAATATCTACTAAATTAAATATACATAGAAATAATACTATGAGTACTGTAGATGGAAGTCTTAAGAAACAAATGTTGGGAGGTAAAAGAATTTGTTTATATTAAGGGAATTAATATTTTAGAATCTGAAATTTTAAGAAATACGTGCCTTTCTTTGTAAGGGTTGAAAACAAGGGCCTGGTGTAGTAGCTTAGTGCTACTTCATGTTGTATCCATCAGGATCCCATGTGGGCGCTGGTTCCTGTCCCGGCTGCCCCACTTCCCATCCGGCTCCCTGCTTGTGGCCTGGGAAAGCAGTCAAGGACGACCCAAAGCCTTGGGACCTTGCACCTGCGAGGGAGACCTGGAAGCAGCCCCTGGCTTCTGGCTTCGGATCAGCTCAGCTCTGGCCATTGCGGCCAGTTGGAGAGTGAATCAGCAGACGGAAGATCTTTCCTCTCTGTTTCCCCTTCTCCCTGTAAATCTGACTTTCCAATTAAAATAAATGAATCTTATGCTAAAAAAAAAATTATTGAGAGACAGGGAGAGGCACAGAGAAGTCTTCAGTTTGTTGGTTTATTCCCCAGATGTATGCGGCATCCAGCCCTGGGCTGGTTTTAAGCCAGGAGCGTCATCTAGGTTTCCCCGCTGGGTGCCAGGGACCAATCATCGGGGCTGCCTTTCACTGATTTTCCTAGGCCGTTGGCAGGAAGGGAACTGGCTTTCACTACTAAGGATGTAAGTGACCTGGAGTTAGGTCCTGTGTAAGTGTAAGCGCACAAATGGCCTCTCTGCCGAGAGTTGACTCATGTTTCAATTCTGCACCAACTGCATATATGTTGTACTGATGACTGCTTCTGACCCATTTCCTTTGCTTTGTACTTCAGATTTTTGTTTCATATTGTTTTCTTGGCTTTAAATTACAACTTAAGCATCTGTTACTGTCTGCTTGATTCTTAAATTAAATGGGTTCTTCTTTTTGGAATAGGTGACATGGGCCTGTGACTCGAAAGGTAGTAAGGTTCAAAGGGAATACAGTGAAAAGGAGTTGTTACAGTTCTGTCACTCAGCTCCACTTTGTTCAGCAGCTGTGCTGCCTGGCTGTGTGTCCTGTTCCAGAAACCTGTGTGTGTACACACATACGGGGGACCTCGAAACGTATGTGTAAAACACAAGTAAAATACAGGTTTATTTTGATGTGAAAGTGTGTGAAATCCATGCGTAGTGTTTCCATGATACCTGTTTTCCATGAGGTTGAAGGCTCCTTTTCCTGCAGTGTGTTGGTAGCAGACTGTCCCTTGTTGCGGAACTCTGCTGTGTGCAGTAGATTGGAGTGTGGTTGGACCTGAGTCGGTAGGTGGAGCTCTGCCTTCTCAGAGGGTCTGTGAGAGCGGCCGTGGGCTGTGTGCGCTCGGCCCTGGCTCCTGACGCTGCTGGCGCTGTGCCTGACCTGGGGCAGTCTGCCCTCTGCTGTGTTCAGCCTTCAGGATCACATCTGCTACTGTGTCTTCAGTTTTTTTCTTCAAGTTTTATTTTGTTTGTAACTTTAAAAAATTTAAAAAATTTTACGATTCAATTCCATAGGCTCTGGATTTCCCTTATTCCCCTCCAAACTTCCTCCCCTGCCCCCCGAGTTTCCTTATTTTATTACAATAGTATAGGCCTTTATAAGCAGTTGTAAGTCCATCATTCTGCTGTTTAAGTGCGTTCTGACGTTTTGGGCGTGGATAATGGCAGAGAGTCCAGCATCCTGTTGTAAGGATATATTTAACAGTTCCATTGGGAATCCGTCTTTGATCTGGAAGTAGAGATGCATACTCTATCACGGTTGCTATACAGCCCCTTAAAGGAAGAGCCATAAAACAAAATCAACAGCAGGAATGAAGTTTAAAAAATTACAGTGCCATGAAGTTAAATGACATGCAACGAAATGACCAATGTGTCACTGAAGAAATGAAAAAGAAAATAAAAAACTTTCTTGGAGAAAATGATGCTACTGTATGAGTCAGTGAAGAAATAAGCTTTTGAAGAAATGAAAATAAAAAACAAATTATAAACAAATATACGAGTTATAGCAAAAACACTGCTGAAAGGGCTATTGATCTTAGTTTTTCTTTCTCTTTAAACCCTCCTAAAACCAAAACAAAAATTTAAATAACAAATGAAAGATGTACCATTTTTAGGTATTAACTATCTTTTAGATATTTATTTATTTTTATCGAAAGTCAGATATACAGAGGACAGTTTCCGTATAGCAATTTGATTTTCTTAAGTTTCTTGCTTTATGTTTGAGTTCTTGCAGGGGTGGGGGATGTTGGGACTGTGGGCCATGTAAGGCCTTCAAAATCATTTGGTCTGGGGCTGCCAAGTCTTGCATGAGGGGCTTGAAATTCAGTAAATCTGTAGCAGGCTAATTCTCTTTAAAAGTTGCTAATTTGTAGGGCCCATGAATGACATTATAAATGTCCAAATGACCATTGGCAGAAAAGTTCTCCCACCCTATAATGGATGGTATTAGAAGTCCCTTCAGGAGTTTTTTGATAAGAAACAAATTTGCATGCACTGTTGGGTTAGATGTTACAGTGAGCAGTTGTTCTGAGGAAGACTAAACTCAGGTGAGTCTGTAGCAGCCAAGTGCTATTTGTATTGATCACCTGTATGGATAAAAACGGGGCATACGCCTTACCCTTTGAGGGTTGTGTTTTGGCTTTGTTTTGGTATACTGACTGGTGGTGTTGGCGTCATGGTTTGTGGAATGTGGTATCCCATGAAGGTGCTAGTCTGAGTCCTGGCTGTTCCAGTTCCCATTCAGCTCCATGCTGCTGACTGGGAAGAGGGTGACAGATGACCCAAGTGTTTGGGCCCCTGTTACTCACACGGGGCACCCTCCTGGGTCAGTGCTGGCAGTTCAGGCACTTGGGGAGTGGAAGATCCAGCTCTCTCTCGCCGTTTCCATCTTTGAGTGACCCTGATTTTGAAATAAATCATCACTGTGAAGATACTGTCTGGTGGTCCATGTAAGCAACAGTAGTGAATTATAAGATAATTTAAAAACCTAAGGCAAGAAAGCAATAGAAGAAAAGGTCTAATTGTGAGGAAGACAGCGGATCTGTTTCTCAGGATCAGGAGGTGTGGAGGAATGATGTTATCTGATGATTATGTGTCTTGGACGATAGGAACTTGTAGTTAGGCATGGCTAGTTGGCTGTGGCCACTTTTAAGTGAGCGGAATAATCAGAATGATAGCTGATTGTTAGTAAAGTGATTATATCCTTATGGACAAATATAAAACTTTTGCTTAATTTATTTTTAATTATTTCATCTCGGGAGGGAAGGTTTGCTTTACTTTGTTTTGTTTCTTTGTTAAAGACCTAATAGGAGAACCGGGGAGAGCAACTTGCCTGTCTCCACCATCTGTTGGTTCACCCTTACACGGCTGAAAAGGCCCAAGGCTGGAGCTGGGACCAGGAACTCCATCCGCGTCTCCTTCCTGCAGCAGGAAGCTAATTGAGGGGACCCGGTGGCTGCCTTCCAGGCTCTGCATAGAAGGAGCGACAGTCAGGTGTTGGAGTGGGGTCGAACCCACGCACTCAGCCAGCCTGTAAACCATGAGGACACATGCCTGCCTTGGGAACTTTAAATGGTGGTTGAGAGCAGCAAAGGAAAAAATTGTTGGGTTTTATAGAAATCTCTATTTGTGGGTAAAACTAATTTCCTTTTTCTCATTTGTAAAATGTTATTAGGGTAGAATTAGAAAATCTTTTAAGACAATTTTGAACTCCCCTGTTTATTTCAGAAGATTGTTACATTTGTCCTGAGGGCTGGGAGTTCAGTGTGGATATCAAAGATATGACTGTGTTCACCTGGATTTCCAATTTAATATGTATACAGAAAAATAATTTGTTAGAAGGTAGGGGGATGACCTAGTTCAGATGTACAGAGTCATATGGGCGTATACTTGAAGGGTTTTTAAAAACAGGAAGTGCCAGAGAATTTTCCATGTACCTTTAGATTTGAAGAGTTAGCATAGGGAGGGAGAATGAGGTGGCTGGGGGATGCACATGTGTAAATGAAGCCTGCAAAGTGAGGGAAAAAGAGATAATGGGTGTCATCTACAGAAGTGAAGGGAACTTGGTGTGTCTATAGCTGTGTGTGTCTGTGTATTGAGGGGGAGCATTTGTGATAGAGACAGATAAGTTTTAGGTGTTTATTCACAGTAAATAGATACTTCCTACGGGATGTAACTCTGTGACTGTGGCTGATGACGAGCCCTTTGTTGGCAGTGTCCCAGCCAAGGGAAGGCAGGAGAGCCATCGCCTGTAACCGTGCGGCTGCCTTCTCTGTGCTTCACTCAGGTGCCTGCCTGGCCTCCTAGCGGTATGCTCTTCATTATACTTTGCTAGCTGGCCTACTGCTGGGGGTGGAACAAATAAGAAATTAATAAGGTTTTTTGTATGATAAGATTGAGAGAAGCTGGTAAACAAAGGAGAAATCTACTTTATGGCGATTTGTACTCTTGGCTGCTTTCTCTGTGTATAACTTGTGATTTACTATAACATGGTTTAAATCTGCTACCAAGTACTTTGTATTTAAAGCTTCAGTTAAACCTAGTTTATATTATTTCTGTGTTCTTCAATATTGAATGATTATTTTTAAAGACAAAATTCAATCTGTAGTCTGGGTACAGCAGGCTTACAGAATCAGTGTGCAGAATTTCTTCTGTTCCCACTGGCGTTGATAAACTTGCTTTCCTACATTTTTTCCAATAAAAATTCAAGTGTATGAATGAAGTTTTCTGGGACTTAGGTTTACATTTTCTTTTCTTTCTATATATATATATTTTTAAGATTTATTTACTTTTATTGGAAAAGCAAATTTTTAGAGAGGGAAAGACGGGGAGAAAGATCCTCCATCTGCTGGTTAGCTCCCCAGATGGTCACAATGGGCTGGAGCTGAGCTGATCCAGAGCCAGGAGCCAGGAGGTAGGAGCTTCTGGGTACCCCCATGAAGGTGCAGGGTCCCAAGGCCTTGAGCCATCCTCTGCTGCTTTCCCAGGCCACAAGCAGGGAGCTAGATGGGAAGCAGAGCAGTAGGGACATGAACTGGTGCCTACAGCGGATGCCGGCACTTGCAGGCAGAGGCTTAGCCTGTGAACCATGCTGGCCTACTTGTCCTTTCTCCCTTCACTCCTCCCTCACTGCTTGCTTCCTTACTTCCTTCCTTCGTCTCTCCCTCCCTCCTTTACTATTTATGTGTTTATTTACTTGAAAGGCAGAGTTACAGAGAGGGTGAGAAGGAGAGGTCTTCGGTCTGTTGCTCACTGCCTTGAGGGCTATAATGGCCAGAGCCAAGCTGAAGCTAGTGTGCCAGGGACTCAAGTACATGGGCCATCTTCCGCTGCCCTTCTGGGCACATTATCAGAATGGAGTGGCTGGGACTCAAACTCATAGCCCTATTGGACACTGTTGCTGCAGGTGGTGACTTAATGAGCTGTGCTGCAATGCTGGCCCCTCATTTCATAATTCTTCAAGATGAGTTTTACCTCCTTATGTTATACAAGCTAGGTAAACCAAAGTGCAGAGATTGCATAGCTGTTTAAGATAACATCAGATTTGGAATCTGACAATGAAGGTCTGAGAAATAGTTTTCTTTTGCAGTAGAACTTTGAGGGCTGACCTGTCTTAAAAATAATAATATGGTGCACTCTAAAAATATCATGTAATTGTACTACAACTGATTGAATAATTTGATTGAAATATTTTTATAGACCCTACTGTATACTATTAAGAGAGCTAATTGTCGGACCTGGCGGCGTGGCCTAGTGGCTAAAGTCCTCGCCTTGAATGCGCTGGGATCCCATATGGGCGCCGGTTCTAATCCTGGCAGTTCCACTTCCCATCCAGCTCCCTGCCTGTGGTCTGGGAAAGCAGACAGGATGGCCCAAAGCCTTGGGACCCTCACCCGTGTGGGAGACCCGGCAGAAGCTCCTACGTCCTGACTTTGGACCAGCTCCGCTCCGGCTGTTGCAGTCACTTGGGGAGTGAGTCATCAGATGGAAGATCTCTGTCTCTCCTCCTCTCTGTATATCTGACTTTGCAATTAAAAAAAAAAAAGAGCTAATTGTAAAACTTTTGGGTATTTTCAGGGCAACTAGGTTATTTCTTTATGTCAGTATTTACTTTTTTAAAAGAAAAGGTTTATTTATATATTATTTGAGAGAGTTAGTGACAGAGAGGTATTCCAGTCCCTGGTTCACTCCCAAAGTGGCCGCAGTGGCCAGAACAGGCAAGGCTGAAGCCAGGCTAGGGTTTTTTTTTTTAAATAAAGTGGAAGTTTATTCATTTATATTACACACACATACACATAAACATGTACATCTGCAGTTGTATTTGCCCTGTGAATTCCAGAATCAGGTTATGTGTCTAAGATAGGAGTCCAAAATGGAGAGTTCTCTCTGGTACATGTCTCTGTTGTGAATGATTCTGGCCAAGGTTTCTATCACCTTGTGGCTCTGCATCCAGCTGGTAGTTGGGGAAAAAAAGGGAACCAAGAAGTAGCAATTGTTTAAAAACCTTCATCTAGAGGTGGCACAAATAATTTCTACTCATATCTGTGAATGGTGTGGGCATGCAAAGTCAGGTGTTCCACAGCACAGGAGTGGGAAAAGCAACCATGGATGGGCAGTTGCTTTCCAGAGGTGGTTGGTTACAACTCGGTGCCTTTAAAATGAGACTGTGAATTTTGTTTTTTGTTGTTGTTTTGTTTTTTTTTTCTTGTTTTGCTTCTTTTCTTTTTTTTTTTTTTTAGGATTGTGAATTTTGAGTATGGTTAGCTGTATGGTATAATTTTGAATAGTCTGGGATTCCCCTCCCCCTAGTGCCCACCCCCGACTGCTTTTCCTCATATTGGCACAACAGTGGGTTTTGTCAGCGGATAGCAGGGGCCAGGCACTGTTCCTAGGCAGCCAGCTTGAACAGGAAGAGGAGCGGGCGCGACATGGGCCAGTGTAGGATGTCGGTGTTGCAAACAGCTATGCCACACGCTGGCATTTCATTGTCTTTTTCTTTTTTTTACTTGAGGAAACTAAAGGCACATTAATAACACAGTGCGGATCAATTTTATCAAGTTGCTTATATTAAAAACCTGTAGGAGGTAGTGTAAGAAAAATCTTTGTGTATTTTGTTCCTGGTGGATTAGATTACTGTTGTCTTTCTTTCTACCTTTTGATCTTTGATCATGAAGCTTGGATTCACTGATTGGCCAGCACTGCTTGAGCAAATCCTGATTGAGTGTTATCAGAGCTGAACTGTTGGCGAGATCATCAGTGGAGTTTATAATCTAGTAGACAGTGTAACAGTAATCACATCAGTGCTTAATTAATTGCAGCTGTGTTAAATGTTTTATGTTTTATGGGAGACAGACTTTGAGTAAGCAAATCAAAATGATCTCTTAATTCAAAGCTTCCCTCCAATAGCACTAAATATCCATAATCTCATATTGGCCGGGAACCTAAAGTAATTGAAGCAGAATTTAAGGAAACGATATGGGAAATCCTATGATAAGCTTAACGTTCTTCAAGGAATTGAGGGAATACGCTTGGAAATTTTATTTTCTTCCTAATGCAGAGAGGGGCTGGCTGAGCTGGCCAAGGTGCTTCACAGGAAGGGGGATATCATTTCCTGTCCTTCTCCAGATCCGTTACGGGACGTTAATGTGGCTTTACTGCTACTTTTTGTTGAAAGGTTCAACTGGATGTCACAACCACTACCTGGGGGTGTCCCAGGAATCAGTTGGTTGAAATAAAAAAAGTCATTCTTAGCTGTCCCAGTTTGCATCGATCGTAGCTTTTTTGCTAGGACTTAGTTTATATTTAGAACTTAGTTCTGAAGGTGGTGTGGTATGGCTAAGCTGAGCTTTTGTTCTGATAGAATAACTGCTTCTGGATTGTCAGCCGTGGCTCCCCAGCTTCAGAGTGCATGTGAAAATTCCCTTTTGTGTTAAATTTTCCTATGTTTTTTCCTCAGGAACTAAACAGCTTAAGCATATTTTGTTAAAAGATGTGGACACTATTTTTGAATGCAAATTATGTCGCAGTCTCTTCAGAGGATTACCAAATTTAATTACACATAAAAAATTCTACTGCCCACCAAGCTTACAGATGGATGACAGTAAGTTTTATTAGTATATTCATTTGTGCCTTTTATTGCTAAGTGTTGTTATACTGTGATTATATATTTGCATTACAGTAGTATCAATATTATAATAATTTGATAATGAACAGAATGAAATACTTAATCTCATGCTCAGTTTCATAGATACTTGGTGTTTTTATGTGACTTTATTTGAAAGGAAGATTTACAGAGCGAGTGAAAGAGGGAGTGAGCCTCCATCTGTAAAGTCTGTGTATAAGTGTGTGTCTTCCAACAAATTAATTCAAATTTTTTTTAAAGATTTATTTATTATTTTTATTGGAAAGGCAGATATACAGAGAGGAGGAGAGACAGAGAGGAAGATCTCCATCTGATGATTCACTCCTCAAGTGAGCGCAACGGCCAGTGCTATGCCGATCTGAAACCAGGATCCAGGAACTTCTTCCAGGTCTCCCACAAGGGTGCAGGGTCCCAAGGCTTTGGGCCGTCCGCAACTACTTTCCTAGGCCACCAGCAGGGAGCTGGATGGGAAGTGGGGCTGCCAGGATTAGAACTGGCGCCCATATGGGATCCCAGCGCATTCAAGGCGAGGACTTTAGGCGCTAGGCCACGCCGTCTGGCTAATATTTTATGTATCTTGAGTTGTGAGAACTTTGAGTTGCCTTAGTTAGTCTGGAATAACGAGATAAAACCGTGAGATCCTGTTTTTACTGTTTAGGACACCTATATGCTGATGTTTTCTCTAAAGGCACTTGAAGAAGCAGAAGTTACTCTGCTGATCGCACCGTTCCTTAACAGTGGTGTGCTGGGTTGAGAATTTAAATGAAGGCAAATTTTAGTTTGTTGAGTATTAATTTTTATCTTCATAAAATATGAAGGAGTAATATTCTTATAAAAATAAATATGAACCAGTAAAGTGATAAATGTTAAGGAAGAGGTTCAAATATATTTCCAAATAGCAACCTAGAGTAAGCTAATTATTCCAGATTGAAGTAGTGTTTCTTTTTTCTTAACAGACCTTCCTGATGTAAATGATAAACAAAGCCAAGCCATAAGTGATCTCCTAGAAGCCATCTATCCAAATATGGACAAGCGAGAATATATTATTAAGCTGGAACCTATAGAAACAAATCAAAACGCAGTGTTTCAATATATTTCAAGGACCGATAATCCTACTGAAGTAGCGGAGTCAAGCAGCACTGCTGAACAGACTGAAGTTCAGATACAGGAAGCTAGCACTGAGCAGTCTAAAACAGTAGCAGTTACAGACACCGATGTGGAAACTGAACAGCCTCCTCCGGTTGAGATTGTTGCTGAAGAAGCCACACCTGCAGCGGATGAGCCGCCTCCGGAATCCTCGGCTGACGTGGAAACCTCTGACAATTCTGATTTCGGTCACCAGTTGATATGTTGTCTTTGTAGAAAAGAATTCAATTCTAGACGGGGTGTGCGTCGCCACATAAGAAAAGTGCACAAGAAAAAGATGGAGGAACTAAAAAAGTACATTGAGACACGGAAGAATCCAAACCAGTCCTCTAAAGGACGCGCTAAGAATGTTCTGGTTCCATTAAGCAGGAGTTGTCCCGTATGTTGCAAGTCATTTGCTACGAAAGCAAATGTGAGAAGGCATTTTGATGAAGTTCATCGAGGACTAAGGAGGGATTCAATTACTCCTGATATAGCAACAAAGCCTGGGCAACCTTTGTTCTTGGACTCTGTTTCTCCTAAAAAATCTTTCAAGAATCGAAAACAGAAGTCATCTTCAAAAGCCGAGTACAATTTAACTGCATGCAAATGTCTGCTTTGCAAGAGGAAATATAGTTCACAAATAATGCTTAAAAGACATATGCAAATTGTCCACAAGATAACTCTTTCTGGAACGAACTCTAAAAGAGAGAAAGGCCCTAATAATACTGCCAACAGTTCGGAAATAAAAGTTAAAGTTGAACCAGCAGATTCTACAGAATCTACAGCCCCTCCCATTACCCATCCTCCACAGAATGAATTAAAGGGGACAAATCACTCTACTGAAAAAAAGAACACACCGGCTGCCCAGAAAAATAAACTGAAACAAGACTCCGACAGTGCTGCATCGCCTAGTCCGGCGGCTACGGGCGGCCTGCAGAAAACCAGGAAGCCAAAGCTTTCAGCTGGCTTTGACTTTAAGCAACTTTACTGTAAACTCTGTAAACGTCAGTTTACTTCCAAACAAAACTTGACTAAACACATTGAGTTGCACACAGATGGAAATAACATTTATGTGAAATTCTACAAGTGTCCTCTTTGCACTTATGAAACTCGTCGGAAACGTGACGTGATACGACACATAACTGTAGTTCATAAAAAATCATCTCGCTATCTTGGGAAAATAACAGCCAGTTTAGAGATCAGAGCTATAAAAAAGCCTATTGATTTTGTCCTAAATAAAGTGGCAAAAAGAGGCCCTTCAAGGGATGAAATGAAACATAGCGAGTCAAAACACGATGGCACTTCTAATTCTCCTAGTAAAAAGTATGACGTAGCAGACGTCGGTATCGAAGTGAAAGTCACAAAAAACTTTTCCCTTCACAGATGCAATAAATGTGGAAAGGCGTTTGCCAAAAAGACTTACCTTGAACATCATAAGAAAACCCATAAGGCAAATGCTTCCAATTCACCCGAAGGCAACAAAGCCAAAGGCCGAAGTACAAGATCTAAGGCTCTGGTCTGGTGAGGAACAGTTAACAGAGTTTTGCTTTCCCCTTTCCATCGAACTAAAAAAGCGTTTGACCATAATTGATAGCTGGGGTTCATTGTCACCTGTGTGTTTCTTAGGGCAGTGGAAACTGCAAGAGTATTGTGCGTATTGCCTTTAGCTCTTCAGTGACCTTTAATGCAGCGGCTTGGGGACAGAAATTAGCCTGCCGAGCTTACCTTGCCCGGACGCTGCAGTGTAGCTGTAGGTGGACGGCACAGCCCCGGTGCTCTCCTGCTCATGCTGTGAAGTTTATGCATTTTACGTTGGCTTATGTTTACAATAGAAGTCTTCTGTTGAACTAACTTTGCACAGGTTTAATTTGATTGATTTAGTCTACTAATGAATGCATTTTAGAAAAGTTAAAATATATTAGGATGACTTAATGAGGGCAACAATTATAGGAAAATAATATTTTGAGGCACTGTAATTATTGTAAAAATTAATCTGTGATGGCTGAATAAAGTTCTGTACTCAGAGAAAGAAACTATCCCCAAGTTGAATTTAGAATGATTAGTGATTACTTTTTTACTTTAAAAATAGTGCTTCCAGGTGAAGGAGGACAGGGGATGCAAACAAAAGCTCTTTGGGAGGGAGTGTGTGCCTGTTACTGTACTCAGTTTATAACTACGGAAAAATGGTTAATAGGTCCAGTATTTTTTTTCCTTTCTTTTAGTGATCACCTCAGCAGTTATTTAAGTAGGGAAAGTCTTTTTTGATATTTGTATTTTACATGAAAAGTAAAATACCTATTTGTAAGAAGAAGATACTTTCTAGGAGGCTTAGAGCAAATTGAGATTTCTGAAATGCAATAAACCATAATGAGTAGACTCCCTGCAGTTGTTTTGAAAGTATGTATTTTAAAAATTTACCTTCAATGCCTGTGTCCCTGACTTTAAGGCATTTAGTGTAGTTAATACATACTAATTAGTTTCAGGGTCAGGTCCTAAAGCAAAATGCTTAGTTTGAGTGCTGAATAGATTAAATGCTGCGATTTGATTATCACACTTTTTTAATTGTATAGAAAATTTAATATAAATCTATCCTCTTAGGAAGTCATTTACTGTTGTATGATTTTAAAAGCAAGGCTTTATTGGTAAACTCAAAAGTATTCATTTATTCCCATTTCTCCTCAGATAACGTCAAGTGATGTACGGAAAGGGTTGGAGTTCATTTTTGTGGAAAGACTTTAAGTTGGTGTTAGAACCACTAAACATCTTCACATGGTACTATGAGGAAACAAAGAAAAATATTCTCATAAGTTCTCAACTGTAACTGCTGTTTTCTGACTAAACTCACAGCCATCTAACCACTCGATTCAGTGCCTGCTCCAGCACTTGGCAGTAGCCGCGACATTATTTGTCGTCATCACAGGCCATCCGCTAACCACCTTGACCTTGTGCTTTTGGTCTGCAGTTTCTACAAATAGTTGCAAATTTTGTTTTCCAAGCAATTTGTTATTAAAGGGATCAACACCCTGAAGAAAGTACCAATTTTTAATTGATAAAAGACTTCATATCTTAATAATTTCAGTTTGGGTTCACTTTATTGGAAACAAGTTTTATCTGGATTGTACATAAATATATATATATATATTATAATGATTTTTTAGTATATGATAGAAACAAAAGGCAAATTAGCATCAATACATTATAAATATTTAGCTTACTAAATATTTGTAATTTTTACATCCATTTATTTCTAACTTGTTCTCTAGCACTAAATGTTCAGATATTCTCTAAAATATTTACTACAGGAAAAATCTAGCTCATTCATGAACGCTTCATTAGATTTTTTTTTTATTTGTAACCATCTGAAGATTTTGTGGAAATTAAACATTCCCCAATTTTTCTTGAAATTTTATACAAAGCACTTTAATGATAGATGCAACTTTATTTTTCAGTTTCTATTTTTTTAAAAGAGCCACACCCACTTTCTAATGTTGATGTGGAAGTAGTGCACAGCTTGCTGGTACTTGGTGGATGCAGACAATCTGTGTGTAAGCACTTCTCACGAGGCGACTTTGTTCCTTTTAATATCGCTCAAGAAGGAATACGAGCGGATGAACCTTGATTTCCTCTTCCAAGAAATATCTTAAGTGACCATTTGATAATATTTGAACCTGACTGTAAAATTTAGACAATAATGAGTTCCTGGCATTTTTAAAAATCAAGACTTTAGGAAAAACAGAAGCACATCTATCTATATGAAATTTGGGGCAAACTTCTGTGCAGTAATATTTTGTATTTTTTAGGGAATCTTATTTTTAAGAAATTTGTGTCAGATTCAAAATTTAAAAGGAACAGCATAAAATATACCATGTTTTTATACAGGTTCACACTTGTACTTAGAAAGGACCCTGTCCACCTAGCTACTTTTTGTATAACGTTTAAAAATGTTGGGGATCCACAGGTCATAATAAAATGCTTTGATAGATGAAAAAACTTACCCTTCCCAGTGCTTTGCACTAAACATATACTGTGAACGGAACTAGAGAGCCTGTAACTGTTGCTGGAAATGTTCTCTGTTGAATGTACGTGTTCTTGTTGGGAAAATGTTGGAAAAATGTGATGGAAATAAACTAGACTCAAAGTTATTTCAGCTAAATGTGCTTCAAAAAGGTGCATTGGTTGAAATGTAAATGTTTTATTATCGAATTTAAGCTTACTCAGTGACTGTGAGCAGCTACACTTGAATTATATCCTGACAGTTTTATTTCTAAATAATAGAATAATAATTTCTCCTTAATTTAAAAACAGATTTACTTTTCCACAAATGGTAGATTTGTACCTATAAGCCTGACTATAATGACTAATAGTATATTATATTTAGGGAACTGAATGTGTAGGTGGTATTTCATTTATAAACCATCCTCATTAGTTGCACATTATTAAACCTGTATGTTTGACTTTTGCAAGGTGTTATCTTTTATGCATTCCTGCACACAAGACATATTCCAAAGATACTTTTCCAGACTTAAGTACCTGTAACCAGTGAAAAGATAAGAGGGTTTCTAAAAAGCAGTGGGGTAGGTCTTGCTGAATTTTCTCTTCTGCTTGTTGCCTGCTCAGCTTTACTTGCTGAATACTGCAGGGAAGGTGGGGAGATTGTTGATGCTGGAGGCAGGAAGCCCACTCGCTGAATTTCCCTGGCTCCAGCTACCCATATTCTACCAAACCCTTGCCAGTATGACTGCTTTGTACTAGTTCCAGAATTTAGAAGGGGAAAATGAGAGTGCCACAGACTGTCAGAAAGATTTCTCCTGGATCATGTAGAAAAAATAACAGCATGTTAGAACTTGAATTAGAAAGGCCTGGAGATACTGGGAACATTTTATCTTGATAACCAAATCTGTGGCTATCACACACAGGAGCAGCAAGGGCTGAAGGGGGCAGCTTAGCAAGGCAGGACCCACTAGAAGTGCCTGTCCTCTCCTGTCGGGGCTTCAGTTTTCCTTTTTGATTAGTGTGACTCGAGTGCTGTCATTTCAGAGGCTCAAACCTGGGCCCTTGAGAATATGCCACACCTGTCAGATGTGTTCTAAAGTAAATGTGTGGCATTTTGTTGTAATGAATAATGAGCAGATAAAGAATTAAGGCTTACTTGGGGCTATATAAGTCATATCTACCTTTGTTGCCACTTTATTGATTAAATTTTCCTGTAGGATTTCATTTTTTTTTCTAATGATATCTTCATTTGTAAATGTGGAAGAGGAGAGAGGTGTAGCTTGTGGCTTAACTTTCTGAGTTTGGATAGTGCAAATGATCTAGAGGAGACGGGTGGCTGAGGACTGGCATTGGGCAGGTGTTCAGTTAGTGTACATGTAGATGTTCCCCCTTTTTTTTTTTATTATATTGCATTATGTGACACAGTTTTTTAGGCCCTGGGATTCTCCCTTAGATGTTTCTTGAATACGCAATTTTTGTTGTTGTTTATGGCTGTTTTCTCCCTTGCTACCGAGAAAAATTTGTGAAGAATATATCAGTTACCCATGTTTAATTCTTAGGCTGTTTTTGTGTATATGAGCCAAATGTTTTGGTTGATAAGGGTTACATTTTTTGCAGCTTTTCTGTATTAGAGGAGTATGTCCTGTTGCTGATGGGGTTTTCTGCCTAGTGTGCTTTAAAGAACATCTGGATGCTGTGGCCAGGGGTCTTGCAATTTTTGCTGTGGGAGGAAGGCATTTCCCTGTGTGTTATAGCAGATATCTATGGAAATAGTGTACAAGTGGATGCCATTCTCAGTTGTGAAGTAGCAAATGATCTCTTCAGACAGCATGAGGACTGAAAGAGAGGGACGTTCCTAACATTGTATAAGTTTGGCTTCTAAGTTTTCTTCAGTGACCTATGGAAGTTTTCTAGAACCTTAGTTTGGAATTGTGAAAGCTACTTTTTTAATGGAATCCCTAGACTACTATGACTGATTTAGCCATGACACTCATAGTTGATCTGAAATGGTGCCCTAAAATACATACCACATGGTGTTGGCTATGCTTTTAAACAAAATCCTTGTGTATTCTGTTATTTCTCTTTTTTTCTGACTTTTATAAAGCGTTACTTTTTTAAGGAAACAGAAATATAAGTGTATTTCCACCTGCTAGTTCACTCCGCAGCTGCCTGTAGTCGTCAGAGCAGGGAGTACCACCCAGGTCTTCCTCCACGTGGGTAACAGGGAGCCAGTTCCTTGAGTTACACTGCTGCGTTTCCCCACTCCTCCCCGTCTGGAGTCACAAGCCTGAGGCAGGAGCCGGACTCAGGGACTGATGGGGGCTGCAGGTGTCTGCCCCCGCCCCTGACTTTAAGAGCTTGGGATTGAAAAGGAGCAAGGGTCTGCAAGTTCAAGAAAAGCTGTGTTGTTTCTAAGGCATTAGGTACATAGTAGAATGCAGAATAAAAGTAGATTTTACTCACCTAAAATAATTGTTTTTTCATTTCTCCTGTTAATTTCTTCAACTCCCCTCTCCTCCACCACCACCACCACCAAAAAAAAAAAAAAGCATTTGATTTGAAAGGCAGAATGACAGAGACAGGTCTTTCATCTGCCGATTCACTTCGCACACAGCTCTCACGGCAAGCTTTGGTTGAAGCCGAAGCCAGAACCTGGAGGTACACCCTGGTTTCCCATGGGGGTGGTGGGACCCCAAGTGCAGGTGTCGCCTTGGGCACGTTAGCAGAGAACTGAACTCCAAGATGAACCAGCCTTCTGATAGTGTGCAGCTTAGCTGGCTGTTGCATAGAGCTGCCCCTAGGGTCCTGCTCCTGAGTCATCTCTGAGCTTCCAGCTCTTCTTGCTCTTTTGGTTAATTAACAGCTGATTAATACCAAGATAGCTCTATCTGTTGTGGGGAAGTTAAGATGTGGAAAATGCAGTTTACTTCCCCCAGAATCTTGAATTCTTTACTCTGGATTTGGAAGATTAATTTCCTGGCTGCTTTTACATACCAGTGTGACACCACAGACAGAGAGGAACTTAAAGACCTGAGTCTACTTGAGTAAAACATTGTGCTGTGAGCGCCCACTCAGCGGTTATATCCCTGGTGGTATATGTTTAATATCAGAGACTGTCTTGCTAATTTTTGTACAGTGCCTCGAATATTTTCATGTATACACAGGCATTGTAAACAAATGTTTAGTTGTGATACCAAAGCAAGTGGTGTCAGACTGCAGGGCTTCTCAAAAACCTACAAACTTTCTCTTGTTGCTGAGTTCCGTTTGGTTTAGAAAATACTACAAGTATTAGAATGAGAGTCTCTGGGAGTGAATAGAACTGTTAGTAATAGCTAGTCATGAGCATTTATGGAATACACACTTGCTGGATGCTCTTGACACTACGAGCAGACCTGGTTCTTCCTTTATGGAACAGGAAGTTTATAAAGCATAGAGAAGTCCAGGGATTTACTCAGGTTCTCACGATGGGAGGAGGCTTGACCCAGGTCTGACGACAGTTAGCATGCAATTTGCATATTCATTGCATTACTTCATTGGCAGCTTAATGCAGTGATGTGCAGCTAGATGAGTTGGTGAAGTTGTAGAGTCCACAGATGACCACCTGTATGACATTCAAGTTAAAACATTCTGTGTCTTGGTTACCTCACCTCACACACTCTGAGCACAAGCTGGAAAACAGTTCTGTAAGTAACATCTCCAAATGTAGGATTTTGTTTTGTATTTAAACATTTTTTGCATCAAAGAACTTTATTGCCACACGTCAGATTTTACATGGTGTTTTTATATTGGAATAGTGAAGACAAGCAGCTGTATTTCCTTTCAGTTTTCTTCCCATTAAATATTAGTAGCGTATTCATTAATTTTCATTTCGCTTGGGAAGGTTTAGGTAGCTGTACACACCTTTGTAACTAGTTTGTGTGTGTGTGTGTGGTTCCTTTCCGGAACAATCTCTGAAAATTCTCATTAGCATCTGCCTTCGCACATGAATGAGGTCAGGTGCCAAATATTGACAGAACAAGGTCTTATTTTAGTAACATTGCTGAAGTGTTTTTATATAATAGAACACATAGATCCGTAGTACTTTTTTTGAAAGAACCCATTCCGTTAGGGTAGAGTGTTAAGGAGAACGAATTCAGCTGTGTCAGGGATTTTTGTAGCAGGTGTGTGCCGGGGAGATAAGCAGAACTCGCACTCCGCAGCCCTCCTGGCCGTGCACGCCGAGCGGTAGTTCACGCTGCCGCTCAGGCCCAGGGCCTGTTCCCTGCTGATAGTTGACCCACACAAGTGACCCCGCTCTTGCCCGTGTGTGGTAGGTGATGATCTTAGAAATGTCACTGTTCCAGGAACTATTTGAACTTGCATCATCACAGAGCTCTTAACTTTGGGTGAGCCTTTCTATCCAGGAGTTCAGTTCAGGTGCTGGAGTTCCTGTACCTGTGCCTGAGTGACTCTGGTACTGAAGTGCTTCTGTCAGGTGTTGGGAGCGGATTCCTGGCATACAGAACGCTGTGGAAAGTCAAAGTAAGCAAGTCACGTTGGGTGCTTGTCTGGCAACATCCACATGTGAAAGCAATGTTAGGTCAGCTGAGGAATGAGTTTCAACAAAATGAACCTCAAATGCACATAGCTTTCATTACAATTTAGATTTTGAATATTGGTTTCAAATTTAATCTCTTCTATCTCTGGAATTATCTTGCAAACAAATTAGCTTTGAGAAAGGGGACTGTGGCCTTTCACCAGGCCCTTTTCCACCAGGGTGGAAAGGTGGCCTGCCAGGCCAAACCCCAGATCACTTGCTGGTGTGACTGGTCGTGTGGATTTTGGATGAAAGAAGAAACCAAGGAGTGTTTTCCTCCTAAGAAGAATAGTGAAGCACTAGATACAGGATGGGTTTTAAGTGGTTGGATTGTGTGGGAAAATAATGATGGGCTTTTAGGGAAGGAATCTTATATTTAATTTTTGACAAGGTTGTGGGGAAAGACAGTGGTTCTGTCAGCTTCTGAGAGTGGCCTCGTGTTGGTGCTTGGTCTTGTTACTGAATTTCTTGGGATGAAGTGTTGGGCATCTGTAGACGTTTCAGCTTTCTTTGTTTCTATAGGCAGGCTTTGAAAAGATATGATAGGCTCGTGAGGCTCATAAATTTAACACATTTAGTAAAATTTATGAACATGTTTCAAGACTCACACCCTTAAATTACACGTTCCACAAAGCATCTCCCTGATTTTCCAGTCTGCGCCTTCTTTGCCTGGCCGGCCTGGCTAGTCCCAGATCCTCTCCTGTGAGGGCGAGGGTATGTGCCTTGCCCGCCAAGGACTGGTTAATGTGCGAACAGATCTTCAGAAGCAAAGGAGCAGGCATCTCTGCGATGCACAGTTGCGCGTTGTTAATTTTGAAGCTTTGGGAGACCGAAGGCTCTGTGTGTAAAACCAGGAGTAGGGCATGTCAGACCCGTGGGACCGTTCATGTAAAGGCCTGCAAAACCATGTGTTCTGGCTCTCCCGGAGCAGGTGAGAGGTGAAATTGAACAAATCCATAGCAGGCTAGTTTTTAATTGGGTAATTTTATGTGACCTGTGGATGACATTAAAACTATCCAAATGGCCTTTGACAGAAAAAAGGTTCCCCACTCCTGACAGTTGGCGAGGACTAAGGAAGGTCCCAACTGCAGGTGCTACAAGATGAAGGTGAGACCCTCAGTGCTGGAGTTAGCCGCCACTGACCCTCTTGCTGTGTCTTCTGATTGCACTGCGTGAGTACAGGTGCACACACCTGTGTCACTAAGTACTGTTGTGCTGTTTGCAACACAGAGTTCTACCTGGTGTTTCAGTTAGGGGAGTGTTTGGAGACTATGAGGCAGTAAGAGAGATTGGCCAGGCCTTCTGGGAATCAGGACTTTGCCTTCCGGCTTTCTGCTTGGTAGGTGTTAGGGAAACTAGGAAAAACAAAACGGGTATAACTGTTGATAAGATATAGTCCTGTCAGCGGGAGATATGTTGCTTCTTGACTATTTTTTACGTTATTTTTGAAAGGCAGGCAGGGATCTCCTGGTGTCATCTCCAAGTCACTGCAGCAGCTGGGACTGGTCTAGGCTGCAGCCAAGAGTCAAGTGCTCAGAACCCAAGTCGTGGAGAGCCTACCTGCGGCCTCCTAGGAATGCTTGATACCCGGCCCCTGGCCTTGGCAGTGGACACAGACACCCCCCAGCAGGATGCAGGTGTCTGATGTGGAGTCCTAAGCCAGCTCCGGTCATTTTGTTTATTTTTTTAGCTAATTGCCTTACTCTAGTGATTCAGAGTGGTTGTAACTGCCATGTTATTTCTGCTGCCTGAGTTCCTTTAGCTATATCCCTTCTCCATGGAGCTTGAGTCTAGATTCCTCTAAGAAT